AAGTCAATTTTACTGCTTGCTGAAACATCTGGAACTAAATAAGTCATATATTCACTCAATAAAGTTCACAAAAATTTTTTAACCTACTTATGTGATTATTGCCAGGGTGCAAAGAAAGTCAATTTTACAGCTTGCCATTCAGACAAGCTGTTAGCTAGCAAGTACTTACTCAAGAGTCATGTTTCAACCAGCCCCCATAAAAATTTTGATCAGCAGGATTGATTTACAGTTCTTCCTTAATTTTAATTCCCCAAAAAACTTCATTTAAGAACAGAATTCACAAGCCCAATAGCAAAATCCATTAGTCCTGGGCTATCTGACACTACTTTCTTTACACACTGTTTGTACGTGTTAATATCCCACTGGATGGTGTGGTAAACACTTTATAAACACTTCATACACAACATATTTCTCTCTCCAACATTAACCCTAGGTTTTCAGTTTATGATAAAACTAGTTTAAGTTTCCTTGTCCACAAAAGGCTCATATTGCATAAACTGAAAAATCACATGACAAAATCTACGAAGTTAGAAACCCAGTGATACCTAGTAAAAACTCCAAAAACTGACCAGTGCATTTAAATTGAGAATAACATCTTCATCTATGTGGAGCAATTTCCTTTAGTTAAGAGTTTAGCTAAGTCACAAAACAATATGAGTTCTTTCCTTTACTTCTATATTTATTTTATTATTTGTTCTGTACCTAATGAGAAATCAAAGAGCTGTTGCTTTATTTCTGATGTTGATAAATTAGAAGATAGTGGTGGAGGCTGGTATCCCTTTTCTCCTAAAAAGCTCTTGAACTGAGAGGCATCTCTTGTTTGCCTCTGCTCAGCAATTCTTGTTTCAGTAGCTAAACTCTCATGATCCAATGGGCTGTCACCTATCGAGTGTTCACTGGCCAGACTGTCTGTAAATATTCAGAAATATTTTAAATAATCATATGAAAATATCCACACGGCAATTTTTACTCTGCAATAAACCTAGCTTGTGTGTTACATTTAATCACAATCTGGCCAGCTGTCTGTCACTATGGCTACTCAGTATATGAGTATTACCGCTAGCTACTTCCAATCTAGAGGGTTGTCAGAAAGTTTTGAATTAGACGGCTGAGTTGTCAAAGTAAGTGGCCAGCCCAGGGATATTTTATTTGGAAAACGTCATCCGTAAAGAAATGCCTAGCAGAGTATAGCTGGCCGATACTAACCAAGTAGGCGGCAATTTTCGCCGGCAGCCAGCTAATTTTGACAACCCTGCTTCTATAGGAAAAAATAGGAAAAAAGAAACAAAAGAACTACCTCGCTGTTCAATTTCCCACCAAATTACTGGATATAACTAGCAATTTAAAATCTTTACAGAGACATCCCTGACAATGTTTAACAATATATGAGCTCAATGATCATGCAAGTTCACTTATACATTTATGGGCCAAAAAAGCATTAAAGGGACAGCACTGTCATTTACTGAAGACTAGCATGATAAATTTCAATGATGTTAAAGTTTATTATTACTAATTATCATCATCATTATCATCATTATCAATCATCATCATCAAAAATTTTAACTACTACTACTATCAGAAACTGTCATTTTAATTTGAGAGAGGAAAAGATCAAGGACTGCTGTTACTGATCCAATGGCATGTACTCTTGAACCAAGACTACTCTGACTTTAATAATAATATTTTTATTAATTTTAATTAAAGATAGCAAACCTGGGCTAAAATGAGATGGTGATGGATCTCCCTTTCTTGCACTGGAGCCCAGTAGATTAACACTTGGAACACCGGCCACCTTAACTCTTCTCCCTGACTCTACATGACCAGTCACAGTGTTTACATTATCTGATCTCTGAAAAAGGCTAGAATTCTCTAAACCATTTCTATTCCTTCCCACACTTCGAGGTGAATGGCACACAACTCTCACTGGGGATTTAATTATGCCAGTAACAACAGGGACCTCAGCAAGGTCAGGACTCTTGTGGTGGCCTGTGGCATCAACCAAAAGAACTGGTGAGGTCTGTTGAGTTTCTCTTTGTTCAGGGTAAGTCACAACAGGTGAACGTCTGCAGAACATTAAACACCATTATACTACTTCAACATCCATCTTGGAGGCCAACCCAAGGGTCAGATATGGGCACTAGGACTCTATTTTAGGGAGATTAAATATATCATTTAAATTACTAGGGGTAGGTGCATACTGTTTATCACATTGCCACCATCTTAAAAATAGCAAGATCTTGGGAACATGATTAAATAAGATTTCCTGAGAATGGATGCCTTTTCCTGCCCATATCTAAAAAAGGTATGGTGACAAGAAAAAGTGGCAACAGAAAGAAGAGAGTGTGATTTTTGACATTTCTTATATACAGTTGACTCCCAATAACTCAAACCCTCGCTAACTCGAGCCTCGTGCTGACTCAAACCAAAGTCTATTTCCCCTGGATTTCCTTTATACATTTACTGTAATTTTACCCTTAGTAACTCGAACCCTTGATAACTCGGACCTTCCACTAACTCAAAGTACCTTTTGTTTCCCTTCAAATTATTACTATATAATTTTACCCTCGATAACTCGAGCCATGTTTTAAGCACGTAATAAGTTGGAACAAAAAAAAAAAAGTGTACCGTCCATCCGAAGCACTGAATTTATTTCAAAACAACTGTGTCAATTCTTCGTCGTTACTTTTTATGTCACTCCAGTTCAAATTCAGTGTCCATCCCTGTGATGTGTGCATAATACTTGTTTTCCCTCCTCATCTGTTTGCTTATTTGCTTACTTGCTTACTTCAGGTTAAATTTGCTTCTAACAACTCCCGACAACTCGATTTCCCTAGGAGGTTCGAGTTATCGGGAGGCGACTGTATGCCTCTTCTTTTCAATGGCTTCTTTAATTCTACAAGATGTAGGTGTCTTGGCTTGATTGCTGTTTCTATTCTGTTTACATTGTCTTACATTACATCAGTGATTACATTCATATATGGGAAACGTCTAACCATGATCATGCCAAAATATGTGACTCTTTGTCTGCTCAGATTCATTCTACGCACAAAAAACATACATACCAGGGACTTCAAAATGTTGCTACAAACATCTGAAAATACTCACGTCACAGTTGTGGGGCTTGCAAAATCCATGACTGACTCCGAGACAAGTAATCCTTGAGCAAGAGACTTCCTGACGATTTAAGACATTGACGCTTTAAAATAGGATAAACTACATGATATGATTTTTCAAACAAGCCCAAAATACCTGATTTGTGGAGGTGGAGTTTGTGAAGGAGCAGGATTATACAAACTTCGCTTCGAACTCGCCGCCATTTTGATGGAAGGGCAAGCTAGGTTTGTACCCAGGCCACTCAATCCGCACGGTCCAAGCTCGACCGGGGAACTGAGCAAATAAGCTGGTCACAGCTTTCCTCTAATCTGCGTGGCAAAAGCGTAGCAAAAGCGTAGCAAGCGTTTCCGTTTGGTTTCGGAGCAAAGAAAGACCGGTTTTGGCCGCGCAAGAAATGAAACGAGAACCATTTTTCGAGCAGTCTTTGACTCTCGTTCCTCGTTCTTCGTTCTTTGCTCCTAAACCTTCCTTCCCCTCCCTCTCCCCCCCTTTCATTTTTTGGCTCTCGTTTCATTTCTCGCGCGGCCAAAACCGGTCGAAACCAAACGGAAACGCTTGCTACGCAGGCTACGGCTCCCCCAAAACTTTAATCGCGCACCGAGACAATACCGCCAGCTACGCAGGCTAGACGAACATATTTCTTTGTTTGTTGTTGTTTTGTTGTGTTTTTTTCTTTTTGTAGTAGTATATTGAGACCCAGGGTGTACGAATACATTTTGTATTTCAAACAAAGACTCAGTTATTCCAAGATTGGTCTACTTGAGGAGGGTACAAGGGTCAAACCTGCAGCCCCCTCCCCCCCCCCCCGGGGGGGGGGGTTTATTTGTCCTTTTCGCTACTCCCCTCCTTTTTAAAAAAACTCTTTGACTCCTCCCATCTCTAGGCAAAACGGTTGGGCCCTCAACGAGCGAATGTTTCCAAATACTCCAAAAGTGTCCCAAATGGTTTTTTCTGTGGTTTAGAAGCCTGGGGTTAATTTGGAGTTGCCCTAAAAATTTTTTTGTTTTTTTGTTTTGTTTTTTTCTTTTTGTAGTAATATATTGAGACCCAGGGTTTAAGAATACATTTTTTATTTCAAACAAAGACTCCGTTATTCCAAGATTGGGCTACTTGAGGAGGGGACAAGGGTCAAACCTGCAGCCCCCCCCCCCCCCCCCCGGAGGAGGGGGGTTATTTGTTCTTGTCGCTACTCCCCTCCTTTTTAAAAAAACTCTTTGACTCCTCTCATCTCTACGCAAAACGGTTGGGCACCCAACGACCGAATGTTTCCAAATACTCCAGAAGTGTCTCAAATGGTTTTCTCTGTGCTTTAGAAGCCTGTGGTTAATTTGGAGTTGCCCTAAAAATTGATTATCTGTTCGGATGTCTTTATTTTTTAACATTAGATGCGTCTTCAGTACCATAAGGACATTAACGCCGTGACCTCACATAATCTCGGTAAAAAAGGACGATGTTCTTTTCTTTTCGATTTCAGTTTCTTTTTGTTTTGATATTCTCTCTCTTTTTCTTTTCTTTTTGACATTGGTGGTGAGAAGGCCAAATAGCGCTGGCAACATACAAGGCAAACATTTCTCTCAGTAATTCCACAGCTTTTATTAAAACAACAGCAAATCAATATTTGATGACTATGCAATTTTCTTACTACTTTTTGGAAAATCTTCAAACATCCTGTTCACATAGTAAATTCCAACTAGCTTTCTCCGTAGGTAACCCAACTGAAACTGCTTTACTTCCGTTGCGTAGAACGAGACCAGGAACGTGTTACTGAGTAGCCGCAGGGCTCCTGGTAGCCGCCAAAATTGTGGGGGCCACCGCGCGAGGTCAATGTGCCTCAGGAATTCTAGCTCTTGAAAGAAGATCCTCGGGATATGAGAGGCACCTGGAAGAGCACAATCCCCATCTTTATACAAGTACTCAAAATACGCTATTTAGGTAAAGGTGTGTCTCCAAACACAGTGAAGGCTTGGATGTGAAGATGTCACCTGCTGACAACAGCAAAACTGTGTCCTCCACCACATCCAATCACACTCACACGAGAACCTTGAAGCTTGGCCACCACGCCTGGTAGGTGGATATTAATTTCATCCCCAGTGCCACAGATTCCGTGTTCATTCCAGCCCCAAGTCATAACAGAACCACAACCTAGGATAAAAAGAGTAGGCTACATATCAACTTCCGTCCGAAAGACGGAATCAACAACAAGCCAAGCTTGTTAGCTCAATTGGTAGAGCGCTGCACCGGTATCGCAGAGTTCAAGGGTTCGAATCCCGTACAAGCCTGAATTTTTTTTTTCAGGCTTTCTTTTCGCAACTGCAAAAGTTACGTCTATAACTTCGATGATCTTCTTTCAAATAATTCTTCACCTCGCAGTTCTCGTATATGATTTTCATATATTCATAACTTCAGACAGAAGCATATATGCTTCTGCTTCAGAGTAACTATTGTTGTTGTATTACTTTATCAAAATTTAAAAAAGTGGAAACTGCCACCAAATTGAGTGAAACATAAAAATAACCGCTCAAAAAGTTAGAATAAGGTATAAATGACACAACAGAGACAAATCGAGGCACGGATGGACAAACTTGAAGAAGATTGAAACGGATTGCAATTGTGGTTTTTGAAACATTGTTAGCCTAACAGTTTTCAAGTTCATTTTTGTAGTTTGTAACGTTTGATATAATGCTTGGGAAACATAATTGTTTGACACAAACCGGTGATCTTGTCATTTACAAGTAATTTCTCAAGTTTCATAACGAGTAAAGACGCGTAACTGGCATTAGAAACAAAATGAACAGGACAGCCATGACACAGCCAATTAAATGTTAACCGAAGAGAGAAAATAACAAACCCAACAAAACCATGTTGTGTTCAGCACCACAGACAACCTAAAGAAAGAAAAACAAACCGTTAGATAAAACAAAGGAGACTGAAAAACAAGTATTGTGTGCTACAATAATGAAATGAAACAATGTGTTTGTTTTTTACTCTCTGCAATTGACACATGTAAAATAACAGAGTCTTGCTTTACAATCTTCAGAGTTGCAAAATTACCACAACAAACATTTTTCATGGCTCCTTGCTCCACTTTCGTAGCACGACTTGTGAGCTGAAGAGTGGTGCAGGATCTCTTGCAGGTCTGTATCGGCCCGGATTAGGTTAACTACTAGGTTGACATTATAGTATAAACAACATACTGTTCCTAACCAAAATTGTGAGTTAAGTTAATGATTTATCAGCTTTTTCTCCAGTCGCTAAGGAAGGTTCTTCTTGTAAACGAAATATCAGCCAAGACCCCGGACACCATCAGATCGAGCGATCTTAATTCGCGCCCTGGCCTAAACACGTTAGTCTCACTGTGCCAGCTAGGTGTGCAAAATAATGGCCTTCATGTTATGGAACCAAAGATAAGCTCTGGCGAGATGGTTAACCTTCAGGATCTGAATACAGTTGTGCAGGAGCAAACTTCAAAAATATGACCAAAATAAACCTCCCTTTTCTGCGGAATTCACCTATCAGTGTTGTAGTAGACTTAGGTTAAAGGCGGAGAATTTGTTTCAATGAAATGAATCATGGTTCTACCTGTTTAGCACCACTGACTTGTACAACTTGCGTTGGTTCACTACAGAATCCCTGCTGTACCACGTCATCACCTACACCTAACTGACCATAGTCTGCACGACCCCATGAAAAGATCTGACCATCCTCTGCAAACACAAAATAACATAACAGCACAAAATTAATTTATCATTATGTTTCCAGGAAATTTCTAACTGATCTTCTGAAGATGCAATTTGTTGTTTGCATCAATCATTCAGTTTTCATCCTTCTAACATCTGTAAATATTTTTAGGATAGCCACATACAATTTTGTAGTTATCAGTCAATCATTCATTAATTCCACTGATCTGTTTAACAACCAATCACGCAAACAAACAAGCAAGCAGGTGATTCACTATAAAGAAGGTTGATTTTCATTTAAAAAGTTCTATACTATGTAATTAATATGTAAATATGATGAGTGAACAAAGAAACTGGAATGCTATTTATCCTCTTGCACTGACTCCTGAAAATTGTCTCCACAATTTTTTTCACATAATTATACTATGTATGCTTTTGGGATCAATTTTACCTAAATTCCACTAACTTCCTTTCTTTGGTGGGGGCAGGGAGGTGGGTATGTAAAGATTGATAAAGAGTTTGTGAAACAAAGCAAAATTAAAATATTGAAAACAACATATACATGTAAACTGAGTTATCAAAATTCACATCCATATGTGAGGTCATTTTAATACAACAGGAGCATTCTGCGCAATTAAGGTTTTTCCTTAGCAAATTGTATTGCACATAATGGACCCAATGCAAAATGGTTGCTGGATTAATATTCTTAAGTTTAAATTAAAATTAGCCTGACTAGCCTCATTTGTCAGTACAAAATTCAAGAATACATTATCTGAAGCAAGGCTATTCAGGCTAATTTTAATTTAAACAAAATAATAGTCATCCAACAACCATTTTTTACAGTCATTGGAAATGTGTTTAAGGCATGCATTTATAGAACTGTTGAACTGCTTTAATTTCTTTTGCACAGTAATAATTCAACAATTAATTTAGTTCTAGTCCATTGTTTGTTAGTGAATGTCTACTGCAAATGATCTTTTTTGTAGTATTGTAAAATGTGATTATCAATTTAAATAAATAAATATATAAAGTACTGATTATTAAACCTGTGATGGCCAAATGGTGACTCCACCCAGATTTCAGCTGAGCGATATGTTTGTCAGAAATCGCTCCTCTTATCAGCTGTGGATTGGCAAAAATCTGAGCACAGTGCTCTGGAGGCCTGCCACATTGTCCATGTTGATTTGAACCCCAGCAGAAGACCTGTCCTGAGGCTGTTAATGCTGCGGAATGATGAGATCCAGCAACTACCTGTACAAACTTCTGACAGCAATCTGGAATACTGACTATTTATGATAGAAAAACGTATATAGGAAAAGTTTGCTTAATCATAATATCCTAAACTTGGAAGTCACCTTATCAAGGTCCTATGAACCCTCTCATGTCTAACAGTGGACAAGGAGAAATTCCCAAAAATTCAAATTTCTTTTTGCAAAATACCTAGGAATAAATAGTACCATGCAACAATGCTAGCAGGGGGGTTTAATTGAATGATAACACTATAAGAATTTGTAGTGACAATAGTTGTGAGTAAAATCTGTTCTCAGGTTTAACCAGAATTTCCTTGGTCTCCTATGAATAATTAGGGCTAGGAAACAAGTCAAGGGGAATTCTGAATTAAACTAGGCTGAAAACTAAGTGGTTAAACGTGACAAAATATCAATTTTTACCAACAACATATACTTTCAACATAATACATAGTTCTAGCTTTTGAAACCATGGACCTTACTTTACTTGTATCATAAGGTAAATTCTGCTACAGTAAAAATTAATTATTTTTAAACCTTGCAAAGGAGTCACACTGTTATTGCTTGTTTTCCCAAAGCCAAGCTGCCCTTTCTTATTTGCTCCCCAACACCACACAGATCCATCAGCTTTGAAAAACAAAAAAGGTTGTTTGCATTGATCACTAAATAATCCAAAAAGGTTTGTTTCATCCTTAATATGAAGTATTTCATTATACCATAGTGGTATAAGCTGATCCTTGATAATAATAAATTTAATGATCATCAATCAACATCTTTAATAGAAAGGATAACTGATTATAGAAAATGTTTAACATGAACATGTACTTCAACATGTACTTCGACTTGCACAAAGTTGAGAAATATATGAAATTTCTTATAAGGGAGTTTTTACAATTTATTATAATAAAATAATTATCAATTGGGTGGGCCAATGGGAATATTTTCAATGATTGATTGTGAAACCACAGCAGATTCCCAATAATTTTGGCAATGACAGCAAAACTTCTATTCACAACTTTAATCTTCAAAGCATTTGGCTATTCATTATGAAACAGGAGGACAGCACTTCCATATAAAAATATTATTTAAAAAAATCATTTAAAACAAAGAACTAACAATTAAAAGATGTTAACCAGCATGTATGGAGACCAGTGCCAGATAGCCCGGTATGGGGCTATTGTATTTTGCTATCAGGATAGTGAATTCTGTTCTTAACCCAACAGGCAAGCATCAAAGTTTTGGCAGGAATTCAAAGTACAGAAGAGCTGTAATCAATTCTGATCATCAAAATTTTTTTCAGGCCAGTTAAAATGACTCTAGGCCAAAAGTACAAGCTACCTACAGCTTGCCTGAATGGTAAGCTGTAAAACTGACTTTCTTTGCACCCTGTTGACAAGTACACAGTAACTCAAATAGTTATCCTGAACTCTCGACAAAGGAATTGAGGACTTTTAACATCTATCTTACCTAAAGCAACTATGGAGTGTCTAAGTCCTGCTGCAACACTGATAACTTGTTGATACTCAGTAAATTCCTACTGATGGGAAACAAAATAATGAACAAATATTTCGACTACCACTGATAATATAAAAATTATTACAATGAAACCAGTCCTGTATGATAAAAGCAGTCACTTAAGCCCTGGGGAATGGCCAACTGATTTCTCAAGATAGCTTGGTCTTGTTTGGATGCTATTATGATGTAACTTGAACCTTAACCACTGTAACTCCTTAAATATTTTTGAATCAGTACAGTGAAGGAATCATTCATTTAGGAAAGAAGACCTATCAGAGACCTTTCCTTATGATAAGTAACAATTTTATTAGAATTTATGAGTAAGAAGATTTTTGCAAGCCTGCATGCCTGCAACTCTATCAAAGTAAATGGTGGACATGTATTAACGTTAAGAGCTGTTCTATTATTAGCAAGAAAGGTTTCAGAATCCTAGGTGGCTTCAGTTGTCAGTTGCATTTTGCTAGCTGCTGTCATGAGTGCGAGATGACCAAAACATGTCCAGATACATGTACATACACAGCCAAAAGGCTGCTTACTTGATGTGAGGACATGCAATAACCATTTAGCTTGACAGCTAAATAGAGGTCAGTTTATACTAATAAATGGAGACAATTTCCAGGACTATGGTTCAGATTGCTGTTCAACTCAGGTTAGACTGAATAGTTAGCAGTTGCAATCTGACAGTTAATGTTCTCAGAAATTATGTTTCTCCCATTTATTAAGGCTGGGGCATATAGGGTCTATATGTACACATTTCAAAGATGACAACATACCTTGCATAAAGTAGGTCTTGTAAGGTATCCACCAAGTTTTCCCATGCCTAACTGACCAAATGCATTAGAACCCCAGACATAAAGACCATGATCTGAAAGTCAGATAATAATAAAAAACGATATTTCAGTTTAAATATTTTATTCCTAGACAAAAAATTAAAGGATAATAACAAAGTCTAAAAATAGTTTTGTAAAACACTGAGAAGCTTAAGGTTTCATTAAAGTGGTTCATAGAATAAAAAACTGAAAAACTGTCTTATGTCTCCATATTAAAACACCTGAGGGACACAAAAGGTTATTTCAACTATCAACCATTGGCGTACAGTAAAACCTACCATAGGTGAAATACCCAAACTGGCAAGATTTTGGTGGTGACTCATGGCAGTGCAAAAAGATGAAGTACAAAATAATTTGACCAGTAAAATTCATTTTGGCATTTTAGAAAGGCGACTGCTTTTGAGGGGTGTCACTCTTGACAGGTGACTGCTGTTTGGATGAGGTGGAGATTTTGTATGCCAAAATTACATTCCTAAAAGGACTTTCTGACATTTTGCTGATTTCAAAAGGGTAAAATGAACCTTTCTCTACCCCCATCTCTTTTAAGCAATGTTGCAGTGAGCTACCTGTAAAAAAAAACAACTTATCATGGAGGGGAGCAGGAGGATTACTCATATTAATTGTGTTTTCTTCTCTGAAGGACAGTGGTTCAGCAATTCTATGGCTGCAGGCTGAATTTTAAAAAATTTTATGCTTAGTTTAATTATTTTATTTATTACCTATAGTTTATTTATACCTTAGTTTAATTAGTTTA